TCTCCAGTGTCTTATAAAGCATAAACAGACAACCTGAGAGCCATCCAGGTCTCAGAGCCAGTGGTTCACAGTAGTATTAAAGCAGTGGGCGTGGACCACGCTCCCACCATCCCCACCATCCCCACCGTCCCCACAATGGGCTCCACACCCATCTTCCAGCCCAGTCCTCCGGGTTGCATCAACCCTTGAATAAGCTCCCTTCCTAAAGGTTCTGGGGGTTTCAACCATGTACCCAGAGCATCAATGGAAATAGTGTTCCTCCCCCACAATGGCCAAATCAACTGTGGGAGCACTTTCTCCTCCTCTTGCGCCCCTTTTATTCTCGCCCTGCTCAGACCTTCCCGGGGCTGAACAGAATAGGGACGGGAGAGAAAAGGCACATGCCTTCACGTCCGCTTCACACGCACACAAAGAGAAAAATCAAATTGCTCAGACATGCACACAGCGCACACTCTCACATACACCTCACCTAATACTAAGTTTAACAATGAGAATGTGTGAAAAGAACAAGACACTGAACAGTTTGACAGTGTAAACACCCTGTGTTTAAACACTATGCTTCCACTGATCAACAGAGGAGAAACACGGTGCAACTGTGTCTTCTCACGATTTTCAAGCAGCCAGGACAAGTTTGAGAATCATTTACAACTAACTAGGGCACCAGATAAAACAGCAACAAAGAAAATTATTGTTTAATTTGTTTAATTAATCATTCAGTACATAAAAAATAAGGATTCACACAAGGTTCTGTCCAATGGACAGTCCAAACCCAGATATTCAGTTTACAATGAAATAAAACAGAAACTGACTGGCGACCTGTCCAGGTGTACCATGCCTCGCCCAGTGTCAGCTGGGATTGGCTCCAGCCCGCCTGCAACCCGCTACAGGATCAGCTGCTTAAATAATGGCTGGATGGATGGAACGTAGCAAAACCTCACGTTTGTGAAGCTGAAAACAACAAATGATTTACACTGTTGCTAGATGATAAAATGATCCACTAATTGAATTGGATCAAATAACCATAAAAATAAATGATTAGGTGGGAAAGTTTTCTCCCCATCTTATTTTTCTGCTCGACAGACTGCTTGCCCTTTTCCTCTTTGTTCTCCCTGTTTGCAAAGGTAAAGCACAACACAGAAAAGGGGAGGACAACAGCGATAATGTTCCGGAGACAAATTGAGACTGTTGGGTCGCATCAAGCATTAATTAGCGGGACTGAAGAGAGAGGAGCAGACACGTCGCAGCCGTATCAGATTTCACAAACGGTAAGGTTGTGTGTTGAAGCAAAGAGTGGCCAGGTTACAATAGACACTGCAAGCAAAGGCCACACTAAGAGCACTCTGCATTCAGAAACAATGAGATCCTGGGAGACTTAAGGGGACGCAGACAGATATTGTGGAATTATTCATTTCCACCCACCGGCTCAGACTGCACCACGCAGACCGTCGGCCTCCTCCTGCTGCCGGTTCAAACTGTCTGGTTACACATTCTCCATCCAAAATACTTCATCAGGAATAAAAGAGTGAGCTAAAATCAAAGGCAGGTTGCTGTGTATGTGTGAAGCTACTGTTTGCTGCTGACAGTACAGCTGGCCACTGAGTGCTCACATTGACCTACAAAAAAAAATAATAATCAAGCCTCAGCCAAAATTAGCATTTTCCCAATAGTCATCAAATGGCTGTGGAATGATTTCATTTCAAATAAAGCGAGGCATACTCAGGTCCAGGACCTCAATCAGGCTATGGAGAGTGTGTGAATGGAAAGCGGCCACATTTATGTCAGCCCTGTGCGACAAGATAATCCCATTCAGGTGACAAGGCAGCAGAGCTTTGTGTTCTGGGTATAAAGACCACGGTGAACATCGCAGACACTCCAGTGTGGCTGCGGTGTTCAAAATATAGAAAGCTGCTCTAAGGAAGCATCTCTCTCCATGTCTCTTCTCTCTCTCCTTGAAACATTTTGACCAAAACGTGCTATGTTTTCTGTTCTGTCTGCATGTGGAGAGCTTTGTTGTACCTCATTGTGCTTTGACCTAATTACCATGTGAATCCTGCTCCAGAAAGCCTCTTTAAAAGTCTAAAATCTCTCTGCTTCACTGTCACATACCAGGCTCGGGCTTTGCAAAAAGAAGCTAAATCAAGATTAGCAGTCATATGAGCACGTCTCAGTCACTCGTTCCTCACAGCAGAGCGTCCTTCCTGCGTTCTAAAGTGTGGAAATGCATCTTGGTTGCAGCTCTGAAGTTAAAAAAAGTTATAGAGATATTACAGTGTATAAATATACTAAGGTGTGGTTCATCTGAGCAGTGACAGACTAATATGATGCTGTAAAAGTTGCCACATTCGCTTTGGTTGGTGACAAAGCTGCACCTTGAAATGACAAACCAGTCTGATAACACTGCAAAAATGATTCTTCCTGTGGATACTGTATGTGAAGGTTGAAGAGTATGAAGAGTGTATGAAAAGTGTACGACCTCTGACCAGACTGACTCATACATGTTATCTGTATCTGTTTATGCAAACATAACACTCACACACCTGTGGAGGTCTGATCATAATGAACGTTGCTTCTTTTTTCTCCTTAGAGACGTAATATTGGGCTAAAGATAAGACAGATCAAATTCACTAGACATTAAAATTTCATACCCGTCCGTCCCCTCTCAAACGACGCCCGACACCAGAAACAATCCACATGGCACAGTTTTAATATGCATCGTTATAGATTTGATGAAGAGGCTACTGGCTCATCAACTCCACACTTATCACATCTGTTAATGAAAATTAATTATTTACGTCGACATCAGATGCCTCAAAGATACAGACCCCTACATATAATCAAATCCATTTTAACATACTGTAACTGCAAGGACATCAAGGAAAGAAGAGGAAAAGTTGGGGGGGCCTATCCAGTTCTTTTGGCCTGGTTCCCCCCACCAGGACCTGTCAAGAGCCCTCATAAGTTCATCAAAGATGAAAACCTGTTTTCCATTTGAAAGGACTGACCCAGGATACGAAAACAGCTCCTCAAAAGAACAAAAGCATTAATCATCCATAAGACGTGGGTCTGACAAAACCTGTAAGAATATATGAATGTCAATCAACAGATGGGGGGGACACGGGACTTCGACATGTGCTGATGAATGAACAAAGTGAAAACAGGAGATGTGTGAGCTGCTGTTTTGAATTCCAGACAGGGAGGATTAAGTTGTTTAGATATGAAACAGGATCTACGGAGGAATTCAAGGAATAATACTGAAGCAAACTACGAATATGTGTTTAATTAGATCACTAATTATAGTTTTCAAATGATTTCAAGACATCCATGGCATGTTTTACAGAGAAGCAAAGTGGACTTTGAAAATTGCAACACAAATTGGTTGTGTCGTCTAACAGCTTTCCCAAAACTCATACTAGCTGTGCTCAGTTACATTAGAGCCTTTTCAAGTGTTAATGAATAATACAGTGTCCTTCATTGATGCTGTTGGGGACACTGAATCACTGAGGCTCAATAAAATGGTACAGATGAAAAAGCACACAGCTATAAAAGAGCTTCCAAAAGCCCCAGAGGTGGTGGTTACTGGTGGCATAAAATAGCTGTGAACGAGCCGTTTCATGAATTTAGCCAAGTAAAGTTGATATTTTAAGCTTTAATGTCCCTGAAAGCAGATAAAAGCTTGTTCAAAAGTGTTTGACATTTAATCACCTGAAGAAAAAACAACATACAAGCAATAATCCATTAAAGCAATTTCCTTGTATATTTGAATTTGTCCAAGCTTGGATGAGTGGTTGACCCTTTGCCAACCTGGTCTGCCTCCCTGTGTCTCACCTGGCAAGGTGTTGTCCAGCCCTACAGCGCCGCTCAACACTGCCCCCTGTTGCTCTGCAAAGGCACCGCCCGCCTCAAGCTCCGACAATGCAACTCAGTAATCAACTTGAGACAATGCAGGAGGGAAATATCTCATTGTATAATAGTGCATGTCTTTGTTAGGCAGCCCTGCTGCAGAGCTTTGCCTCTTGAGAACTGGAAATTAAACAGAACCACGTCTGTACGTATCGGGAAGAAATGGAGAAACCATTCATTCAAGTGGCCAGCTTATGAAAAATGACTCTCCAAGCTCGATTATGGCTCTTTTCATGCAGAATTAGTCTCGCAAACGTTTAGTTGAATTGGCAAAAAATAAGAGGATGCAAAACACTCGGGATGTTGTGCACACTGGCTGCACATTTCGCGTGTAACACCCAATTTGTTAACTGGAATTGATCGGCGATGAGGTCATTATATAGGCAGTCTGAAGACTGTCAACAATGGTCAGTTTGACATTACAGCTTTGTGGCCCCAATGATGTTAACACGTTTACACTATGAGCACAACACGGGGACGCTCGTTTTCCACAAAGATTCCTTCAGGGAACTTTCCCCTGAAGATTATTCTTCCACTTCACACCTCGCCACTACCGGAGCCACAAGGCAGCACCAAGTAAGTTTGAGATAGTGTGTAATGTGCAGGCACAGGCAGATCCGGCAGCTCACAAATGCTCCTCTGATCCTGGGATGAAACGTGAGTGGAAAGTAAAATTGGGCTGGCATAAAAGAGCCGCTATCTGCGCCCTGGAACACACACTGGATTCACGGACAGACGTTTGCTCCAGACACATCCAAAGTGGGCAAACAGACGGAAAAGTGTTTGGAATAAAAACGGCCCACTGCTCCAAGTCTGCCTGATGGACAAACGGAGCCCACAGCATGGCTGAAGCTACGGCTTCACTGCTGGGATGCTTTTGTCTTTAATTTGATCTAAGCAGGTTGCTCAAGCAAAGGCAGGTTAATGCACTGATTTCTAACCTAGGACTTCAGTCAAAGCCAAACCACATCAACTTCGCCTGTCAAGGCAAATCTGAAGAGGCATACGAGCTGGAAACCGGTGCCCAACACCCAAAAAGCGCGTGTGTGTCAGACATTTCAGGTATTTTGCCAAAGAAAAGAAAGAAAAACTCATTTTACCTTCCAAAATGTTTGTATTCCCCAAGTTGATGACAATGCCAGGCCGATATGAGGGGGGGGGATAAGATTCGCACTCGGAGCAGTAGAGACAGAATTGAGACGGGGTCAAGTATCGTGTCCAAAAAAAAGATGGGGCCGATTTACAAGCACAGAAGAGAGGAAGTACGCGCGGACACCCCCGTAGAGATGGAAGAGTGTCGCAACAGTGCGGTCGTGTAGAGCAAAAGCAGTGTAGAGGGTGAATCACAGCAAGGACCCGAGAGACAGAAGGTTTCTGGGAAAGCTTCTCGTGCATGTTGTTGTGTGGGACTCCACAGTGTGACTGTGTGGGGGGGGGTAACCTGGCAATAAGTCCACTGTGCATTTCACTGTTTGCTTTGCTGCTTTGTAAACACGCACACAGCTGATGATTATACTTTGGACCAGCCCATTTCGCCTTTGGAAATTAAATTCAACTGGACACAACGATAAAGAAAACAAACAAACAGTTGTTTATCTCTCATTTCGAAAAAGAACAAACAAACTACGGAGGAGTATTAGGGCCAATCTTTGGAATTCTGACCTGAATTCTGAGGTTCAAGTCAGAATTTTGAGAAAAACGTGAGAATTCAAAAAGCTTTTTATGCAGTGGACCTAAAACTCCTCCATACAAACAGGTTACGGTGAACATGATGTTCTACTCTACGACTTATTAGGAGGTCACCAGGAAATAACTACTTTTCTGTTTCTTACTGGTTATTTCAGCTTAGTCTAGACTAATGAACTTTGAGCTAAACCCTAAGATGTGTTCATCATGGCACTCAGCTGAATTTATTACCGGAGACCTAAAGCTGTAAATTAAACAATCTCCTCTGGGCTTTTCACAAGTACAACACTGAAAGGAGTGTTATTGTTTTATTGTAAAGAACACTGGTCTAAAAACCTGAACAATGAGCCTGTTGTTTGTAAGATGTGTAACATGTGACTTGTACAAACTTCACATACCTTTTTAGTATGAACTGCTTGAACACTGGTCTAAGTAACAGGCCTTTTTTTAGCTTGTCAGAGCAGAATTTCTTGTTTATACTTTATCCAACAGACAGTGCCAATGATGAAAAGCTGCTCACATGCAGCGTCGTAACATAGAAATAAAAAAATCATTCATTTCCTTTTATGCCACAAAATAGTTCGGAGGCTCGTTAGTTAACTTTAGAAAAATGACAAAAAAGTTATTTATCTGCCTGAATCACTATGCAAACATGAATGTAGGCTAGTTGAGCAGCCAACAAGCTGAACAATAGTTTAACTGCATTCAGTTCATGATTCCCCAACAAAGCTGTAGTCACACCACCTTTCGTAGAGGAATTGATAAAGGGCTTATTAGCCAGTTTATTAATTACCCCTTTGTGTTGTGTAGTGTCCAACACGGTTGCATTATGCTGATAAAAACAAAACAATGTAGACTATAATACTTAGACTCACTGCCACATTGATACCATAAAAGAAAAGCTGGTTGGAGGCAGCAGGTGTAATCCCTTCCCACGGTCCTTTCCTATGAACTACATTTCCCGGGATGCATTGCGCGGCGACCAAGAATCCGTGGAAAAGCGATTGCGCCTGCGTATCCAGACGTGGCAACGGCATCATGGCTTCTTGGATGGGCTACGGGAGTTGGATGAGAGAGGCGAAAATATTCATACTGGTGCTGCTGGTGAGTTCAAGAAGCCTTTTCTGTGTGCTGGGTCAACTGGGACGGTTTTCTGTCACAATGACGCGCGCCGTGCACGGTATTTGTGACCGTAAAGGGATTAATTTAACGAGAATATAAAAGATCCGCTCCTCAGCACTAAGCTGTGCTCGCAGCAGGTAAAGTTGACAGCCCTTGAACTTAGTGCTCCGATTTAACTAACGACTATTAAAGTGGCCACAGGAGTTTGTGTCGCGCACGGAGCAAACAGGATGGGTCTCCCTAAGTGCACGGCAGGTTTGTGGCCAGCGGTCGTCAGCGTGCGTGGGGATCCTCCCCCAGGTTGGAGCCGCTAACCACCGTCCAGACCCAGCTAGGTTCACTGACTGCCTCCGGTAACGTTCACGGTCCTTTGGGTTGTTAGCTGGCTGTTTGTCCCGCCTCGGGAATCGGACTCACTGAAACTAGACTGGAAAGTTAAGTTTTTCACTTGCACGCCTTCAACTTGTGTTCCTCAGGGGCGTGCGTGAGCTGCTGTATATGTGGTAACACGGAGGTGTGAGAACTGGCTGGATTAGTGAACACAACTAGTCTGAAGTGAATTAAAAAGCTTGTCTCTCAAACAGTACAGTATGTTAAAGAGCAGGTCTGCAGCTCATTTATTATCTATTAGCTATTAAACCTTTTTTTAAAATAGTGAAAACCGCCAGTCATAATGTCCCAGAGTCCCAGGTGAGGTCTACCTGGAAAGGTGTCAATCAGACATGACGTGTCGAGAAGGAGCTGCAGCCTTTCATTCCACTGGCAGAAGCTGAGTTTAAGGCCTTTTCCTGCTTTGCTTCCTGTTGCTTCAGCAAACAACAGTGTGTGTATAGTTACGCTCTGTGTGTGGCAAACCCTGTTCTCATTAAATAGGTGGACAGGATTTAGATTTAAGATATCTACAGCTCAGTTTAGCCTCTCTGAAATGTGAATTACAAATATCTGTAATTACATTCTGACTAGTCAAAGCTCAAATTAAATCAGTAGGAACTTGACCAAGCACAACGTCTTTTTGGATATCAGAGATCATGTCACAGAGTTTTAGACTTTTCTTTTTAGATATGTACAGTTTAATTATGATGAGTCAAAACTGACATATAAAATATCTGCAGTTACATTAAGACTAGTCATTACCCCAGTTTCACATATCAACTGGTCATGTCTTAGTTTGAGACATCCAAAAAGGTTATTTGGTTATTTTTTAAATGTGCCAAATTAAATACAGTATATATGTATTTGGAATTAATTTAGCCTAACAAGTAAAGTTAACCTAAATGCAGGGTTTTGTTTCATAGCTTTAGCTGGAACATGGCCAGTGCAGTAAGACGCTGTGGTCAAGTGAGCTGCTCCTAAGACTACAAAGCCTTCAGATGTACCTTTGTTTGTTTGTCCCTGAAGTACACCTACTAGCACACACTGTATGTTAAGTAGAATTTAGTTTGTTTGTCCCTGAAGTACACCTACTAGCACACACACTATGTTAAGTAGAATTTAGTTTGCTTGTCCCTGAAGTACACCTACTAGCACACACTGTATGTTAAGTAGAATTTAGTTTGCTTGTCCCTGAAGTACACCTACTAGCACACACCGTATGTTAATACCATATACAGTCTATGAACCAAATGTATATGTGACACAAAAGGCAGTATGTTATTTTGGCTGCCAGTCACCTTGTCCAGTGAGTCAGAAAGTTCATTTCAGACATGATCCACAACATCCTCCTCAAACCATTCAGTGACCACTCGTGCCCTGTCGATGGAGACACTGTCGTCCTGGAAGAGACCATTTGTTCAGGTTTTTACTTCCATTAGTCACCTGTCTGTATAGAACTGGCCAATGCAACATCTTGCCAGATGATGTCACATTCAGTTACAGAAATGGATTTAAATCGGTAAATATCTGACGAGGTAAACAAGACTGAACACAAACAAGCATTTAGTTTGGATAACCAGTCTTACACCACAGTAGCTGCTTGGTAATGTGTTGGTGGCCAGAGCCTCCCTCCTGACGTCCACAGCTGATAAGTCAACTGAAATGTGATAGTTGCTTAAGCTTCTAATTGATCGCTCCCCTGCTCATTTGACAGCTAAGAAGTGTCTAAATCCAGTGGCCTCTGTGTGTTACCGGATGCTGCACGGCCTCTTTTACAATAAGCCAGTCCACACACGCCAACACACACGTGACTAGCTCATTAGTCAGAGGAAACTCAAGGCAAGTGTTTGGCGAACATAGTTGTGATTTGTGCTGATTCGATAGCACCCCTAGAGCTGGATGCCATTTATTAAGCAGATTTGTTACAGCAGATGGAGGGTATGGGGCCGAGACACCTGCTGCTTAGCAAGCGCCACATTTTTTACAGGACTGTGACAGGACATACCTTTATGGCAGATGTATACAGCACTAATGGATTTCCTCAGAGGCCTGAGTCTGCACTGTCCCGCACTGACTCATGTAATCACAGAAGGCCAGTTCAGCAGAATGATCACATCCAGGGGTGTGGAACGATTGATGATGAAAGAATTTCAGGTAGATTGTAATTAAGAGAATGGATTCTGTTCAGAGGTTTCCCTTGTATGTGCCAGTTGGCATTTACACTGTTGTTACTGTGACTGGCAGCAGAGAGAGGTTCAGAGCACAGCTGTGATACTGTGGATGTGTCGGGGGCGTCTTTAATATTGTGACCACTATATTGTCTTATCACAGATATTTTTCATATTTTTCAGTGCACGGCCTCAGTTGCTAGCTTAGCCTAGCCTTTGTCTAAGCTGTTTTAAACATTACATGTGGTGACAGAAACATTATTTCCACGTCTTTTTTAAAAACATTTTTATCATTTTGTTGTTGAATAAGGATATTGTCATGTTATTGTTCACATAATCATTCAACAAATGTACAAGTTTGGCTTATTGTTGCCAAGCTGAGTTGTGGTTGCCACGATCGGGCTGATAATGGAAAATAATTATTAGTCTTGAAATGAATCAGCAGCTTGAAGAATAGAATTTCTCTCATGCCAGTGATTCAGAACTCTACTACACTGAGGTTGTTTTCTCTTTGTGCTTCGTGTTCCTGTTTCTCGTTTAGTATTCCTGACGGAGCCCGGTACCTGTGTAGCTGTGTGAAAAATTAGTTTGTGTGTGTTGTACCAAGCATGCTGCTCTCCTTGTGTCTTATCTCCATTGACAGTGAGGCTGTCTCCGTGCAGTGTATGTTGAGGAGGCTGTAATGATGTGCATAGACGGTGTTGGGGAGGGAGGAACGCAGCACCATTGTAATGCCTCTCACAGTGATGGAGGAGTGAAGGACGCTTCAGAGCCGTTGTAGTACACGGCACAGTGATTGGTAGCCATTGGTAGGGTGTCTCTGTGTCGGTGACCTGCCAACTGAGACGGGGACAGAATTCAGTGAAGCAAAACTAAAACTCTGCTCTGTAACCTACAGCAAACTTAACAACATTGTGTTGAGTTAGACCTGAAGACACGTTTATAGAGTGGATTTTAGTAACCGGTGGTTTGACACATTTCAGTTCTTTTGACAATAAACTCCTTTGGGGAGTCACCTAATACTGAGACAGTGTCTACTTAAACTTTTAGTAGGAATTGTATTAAAACAGCTCAGGAATTGGTTAAACAATTAACAGATTAATAAATCATGAGGCTTGTTTTAGTCTTTTTATTGGATGTTTGTACAAAAAGAAAAATACAGACTGTTAGCAAGTGCAAACCTCAAAGGCTGAGACATGAAACCAGTGGTGAAGTTTTAAGACCTGCAGTTCCACAAATGGCCACTTGAGGCAGGCTCCAAAAGGGAGTCAGTCCCTAGACGTTCATGTTGAAATGGCCTTTACAGCTGATTTCCCCTTCTGTGATAACTGTATGGGCCTGAATTCATATATACACCTGGCCCATTTCAAAAAGACACTTAGAGACAAATGTTTATACTTGATTTATCAAAATTAGTTTCTAAATCTTAGTTTATGCAGCTTTAAGTGAATAATTAAGTAGTACATTTAATCTACAGTCTCTTAAAGGATATTTCCCATTTCATATCATTGGAATAGGAAAAAGCAGACCATCATTCCTG